GTACCAATAAAAATGAAAAAAGACAAAAAAAAAAAAAAAAAGAAAACAAATTTTATACTATTTTGTTTTGTATGAATTCATTGTGTGAAAAAACAACTATTTAGAAGAAAGCAAGAGACATTATGGTAGCCACTATTGATCCCCTGTTGTCTTGCTTTGAAATCTGTGTCACTTACATTGTTTTCTTATGGATCTCCATTGTTCTGTTTTGTTTTACCCTCTTTTTTTTTTAAAAAAGATTCTATTCCTGTGCTGAATTTCTGGAATCTTGACTCTGATATACCTGGCTGTAAATTTTTTTTGATTGTGCATAACTGGAGTTTTATATGCCTCACTTATATATGTATGTCAATTTCTTTTCCTCTTATAGGGAAGTTTCTGTCATGACATTTGTGAACAGCTGTTTTTAATATCACTTGTGGGATCTCCTGCTTTTTCACTGACTCCAGTCAATCTTAAGTTATTCTTCTTTGTCTCATCTAGCAGCTGATGGATTGATTTCTCATGATCCTTTGCTATTTTTGAGAAATCTTTCTTTTCATTATTACTAACCACAAACCTGTCTTCAATATCTGAGATCCTGTCCTTACATTGGCTTACTATGTTTTGAATACTTTAATTGAATTTTTATTCTCCTGGATATCTGCTTGAATATGCCTTATGGATTCCATTTCCTTGTTATGCTGAGCATTTGCAGCTTTCATGATTTTCTGAACCTTGTCCATTTTTCTGTCTGTACCTGCTATAGCATCGCAAGCATGGTTTTATTTTGACACCATCTCTACAGTTGTCTGAGAGATTTCTGATTTGATTTTTTCCAGAGCATCATTCAACTTGCTCTGTTGTCACCACTTCAGACAGGACAGAAGGGAGGCTTTCAGACTGCCCACCGTGTATGCCTGTGGTGAACTGTATGTCTGGGGTGGCATCTTTTTCAAATGTCTTTTTCATTTTCTTTTCTTAGTTTAATTCCTGGGGTGATGCTTGTAAATTGCCTATAATGGGTTGATTTATTGCTAATATTTAGGACCGTTAGGTAATAACTACTTCTCTGAGGTACCTTTCAGGTATGCTGTTTTTGGGTTTTGAGTCTGTTGGAAGATCTGAGCTCTTCAATTTATTGGAGACAAGAAGCTGTTGCTCATTTGACCTAGTCCCTGGTTCATCGGGCACCGTGCCAAAGTATTTTTGTGACCCTTAGTAAATCTCAGTCATGGAATACTAGGACCAACAAGTGTTTAGAACAATCGTGTCACTTCTGGCTATAGTGGTACCAATAGCATCAAACACAGCCTAGAGAATGACAAATTGAGTTAACCATTAATTTGCCACTTTTAAACATATGAACTACGTTTGCAGTTATATAACAAAATATAAAACTAATCAGTATATGAATCCTTAATATCGTCAATTTTTCCCTCAGGGGTTAAAATTTAAAATGAGTTAAGGAGAAAATAGAGGAGTGGAAGAGGAGGAAGAGGAGGTTGCAGGATGAAGGTGGGTCACATTATATTTAGAAACTGGTACAGAAGACTGACGGGAAAGAGAAGGAAGAGATAAGAACAACAAAACAGAACAGAACCGAAGTGCAACCATGAAGAGGCTAGAAACTACCTTCACACTCATATAAAAACAAGATCAAACAATGAAGGAGAAAAAAATGAAAACAAAAAGCAAAAAACACAAACAAACCCACCAGCACAATGAAAAAAAAACAAATGAGAGAGGGAAGAAAAACAAAGGCAAACGCCACTTCCAGTTTGTTTCTGTCCTCGCTGGCGGACAACCTATGGAGACAGAGTTCTGATCTGTGCCGATCTATCCCAGCAAGCCATCAGTAGCTTTCTGATGGAGCAGTGGATAATCTCAGTGAGCCTGCACTTTCTGGCTGGGACCAGACTCATTCATTTTGCCACAGACCAGGAACCTTCCCTGCATCTGAGCATAGCTGGGAGCTGCTGCTGGCTGGAGCTAGCAGCAGTTCTGAGTTCTGATGTCAGCCGGCCATCTCCACGTTGGCTCCTGGCCAGTCACTCTGTCCCACAGGAGAACTAAGCCCTCCGTGTTCACTGCCAGCTAGTATAGTCCTTTACATCCGCTGCTTTCCTTCACTTTGTGTCTCTCTGTGGAGGCCTCTGGAGTTACCAGCCATCACTGGGGGTCTGCAGGTTTGGGGCCATTCCTCTCATGCAGTGAGTCCATTTTCAGGGAAAGTGGTGGCAGTGCCACCTTCCTCTTTGTTCAAGTTTCTCGCTTGACTCTCATTTCCTGCTTCAGACTCTTCCTGGGTCCAGGGGACTCACTTTCCTCCTTCTTGTCTTCCTCATGATGCTATTTTCTAGTGTCTGGATAATGACTCTTTGAGAGGCTCTTTCTCCACTATTTACTGCTCCACCATCTTGGTCTCTGTCCCCCTCCAGCACTATTTATTGAATAGACTGTCTTTCTTCCACTGAACATGTTTGGCTCCTTTGTCAAAGATAAGGTGGCTAAGGGTGTTTCTAGTTGTATCTGCGTCTTGTAATCTGTTCCACTGGTCCTTAGGTCTGGTAGCTGTTTTTTTTCCCAGTACTATACTGATTTTATCACAGTAGCTTTGTAGTAGAATCTCAAGCCAGGAACTATGATGCCTCCTGCCTTGCCTTTGTTGCTGAGGGTTGACTTTGCTATTCCAGGTCTCTTCTGATTCCAGAGGAATTTCAGGAGGTGATTTTGTCTTTTTCTTTTTTTTTTTTTTTAATTGGTACCAGGGATCAAACTCACGACTGCCTGCTTGCAAAGCAGGCACTTATGCCGCTAAGCTAAATCCCCAGCCCCCTCAGGAGATGATTTTAAATCCAATCCTGCCACATCCTAGCTTTGTGGTAGGTTATACCAATATATGTTTGTGACACATAACAATTACATTCATTTGGAGGTACTGGTACATAAACATATTGTATCTTGATCATTTTTTATCTCTTTTCTCTTCTTTCCCCTCTTCCCTTCCCTTACTCTGTTCCCCTTCCCTAGCTCCAAAAAGTTTACTTCCGTTTCCCACTATCTCTCATTTATTTTACTGTTTAATTTATTTATGTTTACATGTATTGATACTTAATCTGTGTCTGATTTAATTCACTTATCACTTTAGTCTTAAGATCTACTCATTTTCCTAAAAGTGACCCAAATTCATCTTTCCTTATGGCTCCACTGTATATATGTATCACATTTTCTTTATCCACTTGTCTGTCAGTGTAGGTATGCAGGGTTTTTTTAAAAATTTTTTTTTAAGGCAGGGACCTGCTATGTAACCCAGGCTGTCTTTAAACTTGTGATATTCCTCTTCCAGACTCCATAAAATGATGGTATTACAGGTGTGCACCATAAAACCTTGCAAATTTCACAACTCTTGACTATAAAGCAAAAAATGACTGGGTATTGTGACACATACCTATAATCCCCAGCACTCAGGAAGCTAAGACATCAGGATTGCTGTGAGTTCTGGGCCAGCCTGGGCTACATAGTGAATACGTATAATGAGAATTTATCTTAAAAGAACCAAAAAAATGCTGTTAAGAAATTATTAAAGCTGGATGTAGTGCACACCTGTAAGCTTAACAATCAGCAGGCTGAGGCAGGAGGACTGCAAATTTAAGGCCAACCTTGGATTCATAGCAAGACCATTTCTCAAGAAAAAAAAAACAGATTTACAAAATTTAACTTTAAAATACTAATATATTGTGCACTCACTGTTTTATTAAACTTACCAAAAAGATGAAAGCCAATATCTGTAGATATACGTATCACTATTAATTTCAATTAATATTCTCAATCTAGTCCTGCCTTTAGACAGGACCTTGCAGTGAGCTCTTGTGGAAATGAAAATGTCATCATGTGTGGTTATTTTCCAAAGACAGCCTAAGCTCTTCTACAATGCTGCCATCAAATTTCCCAAACAAGAAAGACAGTTAAATTCCTCTCCCTTTTTCCAACACTAGAATTTGGTAGAAGTGACATGGTGATGTTCAAGGCTGGGTCACAAAAGGCAGTGGAGGCATCTACTGCATTCTATGATACTGGTGTTGGAGGTCTGAGCCACTGAGGAAGAAGCCCAACCATCCCAAGGCTGCCCCCATGCTGAGTCCCAGAGGAAGTGCTCCAGTATTCACACTGGCCTTTAAGTAACCCCAGGCCAGGTCCCAACACTTGTGAACAATCCTTCAGGTAACTTAAGCTTGCTGCCATCAAATTATTCCCATTTTTAAGTAACCCCAACTAAGACACCCCAAAACATCACATAGCAGGGTCAGCCTATCCATGCAAAGCCCTGTCAATATGTCTCCTAAAAGGACTCAATCAATATAATAAAACAGTTGTTCTAAGTCATTAAATTCTGGGATAATCTGTAATGCAACAAAAATAAACTCGTCAAAGTATGACTAAGCAAGAGAACAAAGTGAGTAAATAGTCTGTTGATTGGTCTTTCATTTAGTTTAATTTTTATCAGAATGTGTCATATTGAGTTATAGCAGCCCACGGATATACAACTCATTCTGTACTTCAAAAGAAAGCCATAGTATCCTTGTAAAATAGATGAACTTCACCTGCAAATTTATGTATCTGCATCCAATGACATATTTCATCTCCCATGACCTCACTCAGTACCTCATCCCACAGCTATGAAAGGTCATCTCTTAATTTTTATGTCCCACAATGTCTGCACAACTGACTCCCTTTTTGGAAAACTAAATGCTTTTTTTTTTTTTTTTTTGATACTGAGGATTGAACTCATCACCTCGCATTTGCCAGGCAGGTACTTATACCACTGAGCTAAATCCCCAGCCCTGAACTAAATGCTCTCATGATAGTTTTAATTTTCTGAAGAGTGAGATGCCATTGAATAAATAACAGGGGTCAGACATCAACAGTAAAAGGGGTGAGGCTTCTCCCAGTGTTCCTTGCTTGTCAGTTTATCATTAAGACTGAACTGATATACATGCAGCAAACAATTCCTTCTTTACCTTCCACAATACTGGACTTGGCGAGGTATCCTGAAGAGGATTTCAGAGCACCACTGAACACAAAGAAACTGGCACCAGTCACTAAAAACACACAGAAAGAGTTTCATGAAGACAGACCCTGAGATAGAGGGACTTGGAATAATAATAAACTATTTGGTTACTGGGAAATAGAAACATACAGAAAAAAAATTTTAAAACACTGAATGTATATACCACAATATACAAGTAAGCAGTAATTCCTTTATTTATCATAGTTTTGGAAAAGAAGTTTTAAGTCTGTTTTCCTCTTCCTCCAATCAACAATCAAAGACCCTTAAAAGTAAAGCAATCTTAAGAGTCAAGTCTCAGGCTCAGCGAACTGAGATCTGCTCAGCCGCAGTCTATTTCTGTAAATGAACTTTCTCTTGGAACACAGCTACACCCATTCATGTATATATTATCTAAACTAATTTTGTACTATGAAACTAGATTTGAGTGGTTGTGACAAATATTATAGACCTACAAAGCCTAAAAAAGGCTACTCAAAAGACAAATGCCTATTATCATGATCTCTTCATAAAGAGGTGCAATTACATTTAGTTTTATGAAAACTTTACTGTACTGTCATTTTCCTGCATCTTAAACCAAACTGTGCTAATACAACGTGGCCCCACAATATCCTAACAGGTGATAATTCAGCCTCTATCAGACACTGTTAGTGATGCGGAGTCCACAAGAACACAAGGCAACTCAGTCTGCTTCCAGATAATCTCAGGGTTAAAGTATGATCTCAAATTGAGCCCAGATCTGGCTCCCTGTAACTTTCACCACTGGCACTAGTTCTGGCCTTTTGTAGCAGTACAGAATAAGCTGCATCTTATTTTCACATGACTTTAGTAAATGACTTTAAAAAACAGAGGTAGCTATTTTTTATGCTCTTCCAACATATCCCTTCCTATGTTAGACAAATACAAGTCTTTATTCATCTTTCTTTGGGTGCTGTTTCTCATAGTTCGAACTTATTCAAACATTAAAGGTATGATTTCTGTGGTAGAGAGTGCGGTGAACTTATCATCACTTTATTCTGGATATTGTATTTCGATGTACATGTGTTACATACCTTCTATGTCTTTACTGAACAACTGCTTTTAAAACACACTAAAGACAGTGACTTACAATATGCCTACTAGAGAAGAGTTTCACAAAACAGATGAAAGAAATATAGTTTTGGGGGGGAAAATTTTGCTAGGTGTGGTGTAATCCCAGCACTTGGGAGGGTGAGGCAGGAGGATTGTTGCAAGTTTGAGACTAGCCTCACAAAGTGAGGTGAAAGTGAGCATGAACTACATAGTGAGACCCTGTCTCAAAAACACAGGAAGGAAGGAAGGAAGGAAGGAAGGAAGGAAGGAAGGAAGGAAGGAAGGAAGGAAGGAAGGATGGCAGGCAGGCAGGCAGGCAGGCAGGCAGGCAGGCAGGCAGACACAAACTAACTCTAAGGGAAAAAAAATTTGTGTCCAAATAAATTTATAAAGAGCTAGATAGTATCCTCCTCTTATAAAATCAGAATACAGCTTGTTAAGTGGTCTGAAAAGTCCAGTAGTAAAGAAACTTGCTTAGCACAGTTCCTCATATTTAATTTATTAAAGAAGATTTCTATGTATTTATGAGACAATTTTTTTTTAGGAACAACAGGTTAAGAGCAGAATATATTTATTGAGCGAAGGCAAACTTTTGTCTGAGAGACAGACAGAAAGGGTCCTGAGTGGGATGCCAAAGACTGTCTTTTCTAGGGACTTTTAAGGAGCAAAACTACGAGGTAAAAAGGGTCCAGGGGCTAGGGATTTAGCTCAGCGGCATAAGCACCTGCCTTGCAAGCAGGCAGTCGTAAGTTCGATGCCCGGTACCGATAAAAAGGAAAAAGACAAAGAAAAAAAAAGGGTCCAAAGTGGAGAAAAATGGAAACTCGCAAGGGGGCACGAGGTGGGACAGAACTATGATCAGCTAGTAAGATTAACGGTTCAAGTAAAATTGAACCAATATGGGACAAATGGAGAAGCAAATCATATAGCACGAGCCCATGCTTAAAGAGCAGTGACTTCTGTAAGGGGTTGGGATGGTGACTCCTGGGTTCCCCGAGGTGATCCATACCTAGACAAAAAAATTTCTTTGAGACAAGGTCTTGGTACAGGCTTGGTACAGGCTAGTCTTGAACTTACTATCCTCATGTCTCATTTTCCTGAGCGCATAGAACTTGTGGTTATGGACACATACTATCCTATCTGGCCTATGTGAACATTTTTTAAAACCACAGAATCTGAGGAAACACACACTTTGGGAAATGTCATGTTGATCAAGGATTCTCAAACTAATGTGTATCTGAAGTACTCAGGGATCTTGGTAGAATTCTAATTAGCAGGTATCTGATTAGTAAATTCTTTATTTCTAATAATCTCCTAAGTGATGAGACTACATTCTGAGTAGCCCTGAAGCTAGATGTCTTCCTTACAAACCCTGTCAATCTATTTAATGTTCAACAAACTCCAAATCTTCCTAAAAGTGTCATGAGCCTATAGTGGGTTGTTTATATAACTGACAGCTCTAAATGCTTTGTCATCACTGGCCTAGTCTCACCCTCAAATACCAATGCAGGCCCTGTCGATATCCCAAGACAATATATTTCAAATACTTTCCTTGATAACAAAGGTCTCACTTGTAACTTTAAGTATGGCTTATAGGGTGTCAACATAATCCTGGAGAATGTGCTTGGAAAGGTAATTTGTTTGTGGTCACCTAACTAGAAAGTAAGTAGTATAGAGCTGAGATAACCAATGTTCCAACTTCAGAATAACCTTCCATGATCAAAGTCTCAATCAACTCAAATGCTTACCTTTCCTGGGTTGATTGTGAATACTAATAGCTTGAGTCTGATAGTTCCCATCATCATTCTGTACACACACCAGGTGGGAGTCTGCCTTTTCATTGAAGCAGGCACCGCCTGCCAGCACATGCTCATTGGACTTGTTCATGGCTTTCATCATCTGCAATCAAAGAAGAGGGTTAACCTTACTCTCCCAAGGATGGGCCTGCTTCTGTCTGATATGGTTTGGATCCACCTTCTCAAAGGTAAAACTAACAAAATAATATTACTTATTAAACTGAAAAAATAAACTGACAAAGTGGCTACTCGGTTACAGAAATGAAGTGAAAAATCATAATCACCATTAGTTAAAAAATAAGTATATCCAAAAATTCAGTTTATAGGTGACTTGTACAATAACCTACATATTACATATTTTGCACTCATTTTATGTCTTTTTTGCTGTACTTTAATTAAAATTAATTTAGCTAATTACAGTTTTTCCTAACTGAATTCTTAGAGGATACATACCTTGAACTTTAAGTGTGTAAGAATGTTCCTTAAGTAAGTGCATCTCTTTCAACATCTGAAATGTGAGGCTTCCCTCTATACATTTATGCAATGTGTTGCTTCTTAACTCTGCTTATATATGAGGTTTTCAGGAAATCACTAATACTTTGCTTTGTTCTTTCAATATTTAAGACCATAATTATGACTCTAACTTGATAAAGTTCATGGGCCTCTTTTTGTGTCACCTAAAAAAACTGAACTTATACTGATATTAAATTCTTGCCTCGGACTGAAATAAGCTATGTTTATCTGTTTTTATTTCCCATTGTTTCCTTCAAGACATCTCATCTAACTTACTAGTGTAACATTTTCCAAGTGCTCCAATCTTTTCACTGTGTGATCTGAAACTGATTTATTCCCCTCTTTTCCCTACACTATAACCCTCAGTGCTCCTTTCTTCCCTTGGAGCACTAAACATGTTCTGTCTATGCATTCAACTGTTCTATTTCATATAAATGGAGCCATGCTATATGTGACCACTGTGGCTTTTCTCACACAGCATAAACTTTCAAAGGTTTATCCATCTTTTAGCATACATTTTTGAGCACTATGTTTTATTTCCTGTTTGCCCCTTCAACATAGAGATTGAGCTCAATAACTCACAAACGTCAGGCAACTACTCTACCATTAAGGTATATCCTCAGTCTTAAAAAATACTTGTTTTGCAGGAGAACATGGTGGATAGATAACAGCAGCTATGGAGGCTCTCTGAGATAGCCAGCTTAGATTCCAGGAATGGTGCAGTGTGGGGAGTCCTAATCAGGGGGAGATATACCCTGCCAACCCAGGAATGAACTAAGCTGAGAGAAACCAACTGGAAATGCAATCTCAGTGCTACAACTGGAACAGCTAAAGTCTCAGTGCCGAAGCTGGAACCCGCGCCTCTGGAAACCGTTGCTCTGGAATTTCCTGGCGCCACCGCTGCATCTGAATTGGCACAGCAGGGATAGAGACACAAAAGCTCTGAGAGTGGGAATCAGTGAAATGAATTGAGAGCAGAGCTGGCGGGGAGCCCTGCATCGACCTGCAGTGAGTGAGAGGAATGGGGACCCTTCCATAGACTAGGAGGCCCCAACAGAGGACATTCTGGAACCAGGCAGACTGGTCGGAACAGGATGCTGCAGTGACTTCAGTCACATATTTCCCTCTCAAGCGGGATTGGTGGAGAGCACTTGACCTGGGTGACGCCGCGGACTAAGACCCAATAGGCTAGCCCAAACCAGGTCCCAGAGCCTGGCAGTGTACCCTAATGCAGTGAAGCCCTCAGCAGGTTGACTGACCTGGAGGGACAGGCCCAGCATAGGCTGCCCAGATCTGTGTCTCCCTAGTACACTGCAGTGGGTGGGAACACCTAGCCAGCGCCATTCAAACAAACTGTAGGCAACAAAGAAAGAAACTGGGCCTCCTATATATGCTTGTATGGAAGGAACAAAAAGTATAGAAAGAGGGAGCAACAAGAAAGGGTCCTTCGTCCCCAATCCTGAGAACACTGATCCAGGAAAGGTAAATGCAAAGGAGAATGAGGACAGAAAACATGCAATATCAGGCACAGCACCAATAGACATAAGCAATATCTCAGGACCTCATAGACGAGTTCAAAAGTGAAGTATTTAACCAAGTAAAGCGAGATATAAGTAGAATAGTTAAAGAAATGCTAAGCACCTCCCAAGAAAAAACAGATAGTAGAATAGAAGAACAGAAAAAAAGGGGAGAATTGTTTGATGGAGAGAATAGAGAAAACATAGAATACGTGAAGCAGGTTCAAAGAGATTACCAGGAAACTACAAACTCTATTGAAAGCTGGCATAACAGCTTGAAAGAAACTAAGGATAGATTATCTGAACTGGAGGACAGATTTGTAATGTGGGAGCATGAAATGAAAAACTTCTTTAAAATAACAAGGAAACAAGCTGTAACAATACAAAGGCTAGAAGATGATAAGAGGATCTATAACTTAAGAATTAAGAATGTAAAGGAAGAAGCAGGGATACAAACAAATGAACTGCAAAGGCTATTCACAGAAATAATCAAGGAGAACTTTCCTAATATGGGAAAAGGTAAAGATACTCAGATCTATGGGGCATATAGGACCCCAGCCACCTACAACCCAAACAGAACTACACTCAGGCATATAATAATCAAAATTCCAGAAATCCAATATAAAAACAGAATATTAAAAGCCATCAGAGACAAGAAATAGATCACTTACAAGGGAATTCCCATCAGAATTACAGCAGAGTTCTCGGCACAAACCATCAAATCACGAAGAGCGTGGGGGAAATAATTCAAGCTTTGAAAGACAAAAACCTCCAGCCAAGATTGACATATCCTGCACAATTCACCCTAGAAATCAATGGAGAAACAAGGTGCTTCCAGGATAAAGAGGAACTAGGAAAGTTTGCAACCACCAGTTCAGCTCTTCAGAGAATACTGTGGAACATTCTAAAAGAGAAAAATACCACGAATCCAGAAACAGTGGCAGATGAGGCCTCAATGAATGGGGCAGAAAGTGAAATGAAGAAGACAAACTGACAACTAATGACAAAAAAAGAGCTCAACTGAAACGAGGCAGAGAAGGTATGAACAGCTATGGATGGTATGAACAGCTATTTTGGAGAAAACAAGACATCATAATAGCTAGTGCTGATTTAATATCATCTTGTTTTGAAGTCCTATCAAGCTTTTGTTCTTCTGTCTCCATCGGTCTTAACATGTTGTATCCTATTGGATTTTATTATATGTGATAATATAAACCAAAACTTTTACAGACAAGGAGGTTATACAGAAACCATTGTTCATTTTCTGTTAGTTGGTTCTAAATACCCTGTAATACTGTCATTATCTTGAATGGTTTTACATTGTCTTGATATGTTTGATGCTACAGTATATAAAGTTATTACTCAAAGATTTCAAGGAAAGAAACACTATAGTAACTACTTTTATGTCGGGCTATCTTGTGGTGAAACACTATTTTGCTTAAATGGTTATGGTCTGACCTGTGCTGCTTTGTTGTTATGTCGTCTTTTATCTCAATCTCCTTTTTTATTATTTATTTTTTTATTTTTATCTTTTTAATTAAGGGAAAAATAAATAAAAAGTAGCAGATAGCAGGATACATTATAGTAACCCACTTTGATTTCCTATTAACTTGATTTGAAACCCTGTATTGCTCTATCTTGTTTTGACTGATTTTCCTCTATTCTGTTTTGCTTGATAGTACCAAGTCTGAGAGTATAGGCAACAACTGTGAAGACAATAAGATTCACTATGATGCCCATTCTGGTTTGACTATTATCTTCTTTTGAAGACCTGTAATATCTCCAATGTTTTGGTGTTATTGGTTTTGTTCTTTACTCTCTTGTTCAATTTTATTATAACTGATGATATAGGCAATTCTTTTGAAGATACAAGAGGCATTATGGTAATCATTGTTGATCACCTTGTATTCTGTTTTTACATTATGTACTATGTCCATCATTTAGATTTGACTGACTCTGTTTTGTTATGTCACATTTGGTTTTATTCTCTTCAAAAAAATTAATAAGAACTGTGGGAGTAATAAAACCCAAAGTGTGTAATTGTCATTGTACAAAAGAGAGGAAAAGAAAGTGCTCTAAAGGATATAACTGCTTGTATATTTAAGTGTATAAGATAGATAACCATTATTACTAGTTTTTGTTGGATCATTGAACAGAACTGCTTGCAGTCTCACCGTTTGAATGTCTACTTTTTATGCTTAAATTTTGTAAATTGAACAACTACTTCTAGATGACAATTTGTAATCTATTAACTAGTGATATCCTATTGTTTTTTTAAAATTCTGTATAACTTGTACCTTTTTTGTTTTTTTTTCCTTTTTCTCCTTAAAAATTTTAAAAAATTTTTGGTTTAAATTTTAAGACAGGGTCTTGCTAGGTAGGCCCAGTATGGCCTCAAACTCATGAGCTTGTTGTGTCAGTCTCCCAGAGTGCTTTCAGGAGTCTACCAGCACATCCAACTTCATATCTTTTTGTAACTATGAGATAGATAGATAGCTAGATAGATCGTAATTTGTATCTCCAGTCATCTCCCTCCCTCTCCGTGTGTGTGTATAAGGGGGAGGGAATTGAGACTTGAGGCTAGGCCTCTTACTGAATTAACATGCCCTCCAATCCTTTTCACATAGGGTCTGAGTTCCTCAGGCTGGCCTAGAATCCACCTCAGTAGCTAGAATTACAGGCATGAGGTATGGTATCCAACTATTCTAACATTTTAATTACTGTTAATAGTGCTGTAACAAACGTGTGCGTGTTTGTGTATTTCACTACTTGGTTTTCATTTTTCAACATATATATGTGTGTATGTCATTTCACAGTGCTGGAGACTGAACCCAAGGCTTCACCCATGCTAAGCTGGCACTGTACAGTTACCTTTTTTTTTTTTTTTCAATTCTCTTGCATATACTCTGAAGAGTACAACTAGGGGGTTATATAGTAATCTTAATTTCTTGGACTGCTCAAGATTTTTTTTTCTTTTTTTGTCTTTTTGAGGCAAGGTCTTGCCAGGCAGTTCAGGCTGGCCTTCAGCTCACTTTGTAGCCCTGGCTGCTCACAAACTTTCAACAACCTTCCT